ATCCCCCTTCTTCCTGACAATCCTGAAAACATTTACGTGATTTTTCATTTAAAAATAAGGGGAAAACAAATTATTCTTTCTTTTACTGTTTTTGTCCATATTTCATCAAAAAATATTCCGTGATATTTTAAAAGCCGTAATTTCACTCCTTAATTGATTTTCTAATTGCTTGATACGTATAAAAAATAAATATAAACACTAATGCTCATTGCTTAACTATCAATAGCTGGATTTTGCTGATTTGTAGCTCCTTCTCATAATTAAGGGAATTTCAATTCTACCACTTATACCTATTACAAAAAATGTGTTTGTCCTGAGCTTTTTTCAACTTACGTAAATAATTTGAAACACAAAAAACATCTATTGCTTTTGAACATTTCTCATGGGGGAAAAGGACATGATTTTATTATCCTGGAGTATCGACTTTTACCATTCAGAACAAGAATAGACAGTATAATCTTTACAGTATGTTTTGGAATAATTATTTTTCTCAAATATGACGATTTTTCACCTCCAAGTTCAAATTTTCAAAGTATAGACTAATGAAGACTTGAATTGTTTGCAATTGGTGCGATTTAGAATAGTTAGAGGGTGGACATGTAATTCAATGAAGTAAACAATTAAATAAACAACATGATAGGCAATTTTTTCTATCATAATTTCTATAAATACTTCATAGCATTTTTCTATTTGTTAGATTTTTCATTGATGGCAAACCTCCGAGCTGACGACCTTGTCAGTAACGTTTTTGTAATTTGTGTAAAAATTATCTTCTGCTAGTTAACATTGCCACATGACGGTACCATATATCACCTTTAAGGAGACAAATTCTTTTCTAAAGTACACAATGTATGGCCAGAAAAATTGCGCTCGTTTGCTTCACTTTCACCATTGGCCTATTTAATCAGAATTTTAATATTTCATTTGGAGTCACTTAGTGTAGAATATCAAGAATTTTGCTTGAAATGATATATATGCATTGTCAGAGTTATATATTCTCTGTTTACGTTTTCTTGATTATTCAATTTGTAGTTATAAAAAAGGACCCGGAGTCAATTTAAATGTTGATTACCTTTAAGTTATTACTTTTTTAGAGTGATACTAATTTACATTTAAAAAATAATTCCATAAAATTCATAATCTGATTGGTTTAATTCATCACGTGGTCGAAATGCTCAAATCACAGATCTATCTAAATGCTTGAATCCAATATAAGACTTTAATGACGTCACAAAAAGATTTTGCATACAAATTTATTTTGTACAGATTTATTTGATGCATGAACACACATATTCAACGATATGTGCTTTCCCTTGGTGTAACCATCAGCGATTATGTATATTTTCGAATCACATAAAGTTATGATTTAATTTATTGAAGTATAAAAATTATACAAACTATGTTCAATTGCAAACAATATTGGCAAAAAATATAGAGGGTGACTTTGATCTCAAAATATCTTTTAGTCTTACCTACTTTAGGTAATATTTCCATTATTTTATTATTTATGTCCTTATTTTTTTTTATTGAATTAGAATATAAATATATACCGGTATATCATTTTTCAACAGAAAATGATAAATCAATTAATTTAAAAAAGTTGTGTTTAATAAGTTTCCTCATTTAGAGCAATTAAATTTCTAAGAATTCAAACAGGAAATGGATTCAAAGCTGTGGCTACTCATACATATAATGATAAATTGTGGTATCTGTGCAAGTGCATGAAAATGCAATATGTTACAGATGTATCGTTAAAATAAAATATATTTTTAAAAAAAACATATATAAATGATTATCCCTGAAGAAGTACAAATATTTGTGTAAAAATATGCTTGCTCTTGGAACAATCTGTCAGCACATGTAAGGAAATGGAGACTTAGCACTAAATAAAAACTTTGTAGGTTAAGTGAGAAAACAGAAGAAAAACGACAGGTGACATATAAAATATATCAAAGCTCTCCGAGGGCAATTAGTAAAACCCTGCACAAGGAAGCCGAAGAATGTGAAAAAATTTAAAAATATAACAAAACCTATAAGGTAGAAAATAAATTTTAAGGCCATGACTGCGATTAATACCCAGGGGTATGCTCTTTTCTATAAGATTCACTCATTGAAAATTGTGTTGTTCTTCTTTATAATGTTATAGAAAAAGAAGTAAATGATTATGATATGATTGATTTAGTGCTTAATTATAATTATAACTTATGAACAGGAATTCAAATAATGATAAGAAACTATATCATGATTTGGACATAAATGAGACAAATTTGAATGTTTTTTTAAGTACTGCGTTTGACTCATCTAAAGTATATGAAGATGTGAGGTATTTAAGAAATAACACAGTGGAATATTGAGATACAAAACGATAATGAAGCTCAAAAGTTCATCGAAACAATATTAATCAGGATGAAAACAAATAATTATATGATGAAGGTACATGGGATCAGGTACAATGGAGGAGTAAGAAACCCCTGCCGACCGGTCACACCCGCTATGTGCTCCTTGTCATGATCGGAGGGAAAAATCCGTAGACAATTCAGTGTGTAAAACAACAATAAGAAAAGTTTCAGTCAGCATTTGACTAAATGATAGATTGTGTTTGCTAAAGTGCAAATTGTATCGAACATAGAAGTTGCGAAATATTCATAATAAATTAACGATAAAGAATGGATGGACTTAGGAGTCTTTAAAATAAATCAGAAATTTATTATTTTTTTTTTTTATAAAAGTTTATTTCTTTCCATATCTTTATTATGTTAACCTGTTAAAGATGTAAATTATAAACATTCATTTGGGGGAAACCACTAAATACCCAAAGCATGGAGTTTGATGATTTCTTTTGAATCAAAAGAAAATAAGGGCCCCGCTCTGAATACATAGTCACAGCATGTTTGTCGATTGTTCTTTGTATTTGAACAAAATACATGTAATTTCATTTTTAAAGATAAAACAAGTGCACTCATACTTAACTTTATTAAAATATGTTCGCAACAGAGTTCTCAGCTGTATAATTATGACTGTGTTAACTTTGCTTTGACTTCATTTGATCTTTTGGATATAAAAATTGTCACGTGGGAGTCCAGCGTCAGGTGAACTTGTAAAAACAATTTAATTGAAATATGACGTTGTCATTTGCAGAATCTTGTAAATTCAATGGTATATTTAATATACAATATACAGTGGACTTCAGGTATCCGGACGCCAGATATCCGGAAGCTTCAGTACCCAAACGATTTTTCATCCGAACGGAATTTTTTAAACGTTATTTTGTCTTGTTTAACTGGTAATTCAGATATCTGGACGCTTCACATATGCGGACAAATTAACTAGGAACCAAAGCGTCCAAATATAAACTCAAAGAGAAAGAGAGAGTTACACCGATCGAAAACCCTGTCACCTATTAATTTTGATTAAAAACTTAAAAACACGTCAAATTCAAGACAATGAGGTATATTTGCTTGAATTTTGATTCATAGTACCGAGGCATTACTATTGCTCAATGTTCTATCAAATATAATCATGTAATAGATCTTGCTTCTGCTTATACTTCACTTCATTCTAAGCTTGGTAAAAGGATTCGCAAAAGAAAACCCAATGAAAAGTCAAGTCTTTCTTTTTTTGTTTTGTATGACACTTTACTACTATAGCTTCCTTTCTATAATTTTACAAGAATAATTAATGAATATGAATTTATTTTAGGAACATTTATATGGAGCTCACTTAATTGACACATTTTATAAATTTGCTTGGATATCAAAAGAATATCTAGTTCTATAGAAAAAAATAAATTGAATGTTTAGATGAAGGATACGAAGATTAAAATTATGTTAGTTATTACAAAGACTAAAAAAGGCATGGTTTTTTTTTTGTTTTGTAAAGCGGCACTTTTTAATCGTTCAAAAATTAATAATTTTCAATATTTCATCCATAAAAAGAACATCTTAAAATAATACCCTGAATTAAATTATCAGCATCAAGCTGAAACAAATGTGATATGACAAGGTTGGATAACTTTTTCCTGTATCTCAAATAATATATATTTAAATTTTAATAAATGTAAAGGATTATTCTGTTTAAAAGCTTTGAGTATTCTTACAATATCCTGCTTTTTCCTGCCTTGACCACACATACAGAGGTGGGAATCTTAATTTATCTTTGACAAAAAGGAAATAATGCACGATGACAAATGGTTTAAAACATTTTTTTCTTACTTAATGAGTCTTATTTGTATTAATAAAATTATTATGATTTGAATCTTAATTATTTTATAGAATAATTGTAGCAGCAAATTAGAGTGACAATTAATTCCATTCAAGTTTTTCTGAGACAGATTTTTTTTCCGATGGTTTCGGGAAAAAAGTTGCACATGCATTGAAGATATCTGACACCCTATATACTAGTAAATAACTGAATGAAATAATACCAAAATCTAAATCTTACAGCTAAAGTACCCTTATCTCGAACTTCCTTAGTATTATAAGAAGTATTCCAAGAAGTCATGAATAATTTTACTACATAATTTTTTTTATATCAATTGACCAAAAAAAAAAAAAAAAAAAAAAAGAATAGAGAGAACATCAAATTTACTGGATGTTTCTTTCTCCAACGATCATTTTTTTAATGACAGAAAAGAAATAATGTATAATTTTTACTTTATTACCCATACATTATCAACAATTGAACATATATATAACAGTCAAATGATTCTATTCAAAATTGTAACATAGACATGAAGACATAAAGACTCTAAATCTCAAATCGTTCTACTGAGCATTTGCTTAGTAATTTGCTTTGTAATTTAAGACGAAATATACACAAAATATCATTACATTGTAATGAGATCGAACAAAAAACTAGCAAAACACAATAACTTAGTGAAATACATACATGAAAACCAATATTTAAGTCCTGAGGTAAAAATCAAATGGATTTCAAGATGAAGAGAGGTCATTGAACCTCTCTGAGGATAGTCACTGGTAATATGTCCATACTGTAGGTCATCATACAATCCCTATAGTGGGACCCTGCTGCTTCTCAATCTGACAGTACCTCCCACTATATCCCCATATACAGAGACACATCTCCTCCCCCGTTTTTCGGTCACTGTGACACTGGCCGCCATTTTTGCAGTCCATCCTACATGGGGTATCACAGAAATCTCCCGTCCACTTTGGGGGACACTCACATCTGACTGTTAAGCCGCCGTGCATGCTGGGAGCTACGATACAGGACCCTCCATTGTTGCAGTGGAAGTTTTTAAACTGTTTGCATCTGTTTGGTTTTCCTACCTCCGTATCTTTTTTAATGTCTATCTCAGTACACAACTTTCCTTTAAACCCCTCATGGCACACACAATTAAACATGTCATTTTTAAAAGAGCAATCACCATTGACACATCCGAACAGTTTACAGAGAGGTTTTGACGTGCTTATAGTTGCTCGTTTTTGTCTCTTGGAAACACGTTGTAGCAGTGAGCGAGCAAGAGGAGACATAGAAAGAACTGATGAGACAAAGATGCTCACGAGAGCAAGTACGTCCAGTGAGAACCGCATGTTGTCAAACAATGATGTTTACGTCGAACCTATCGCGATTTTATGACAAAGAGAGGACTACGTCAGAGCGCGATCCTATTTCCGTGGTCGGAGTCCTAGAGCTTGCTAAGAAGGTTTAGCACTAATAGTTGCGCGCCCCTTGCCAACGTATATGCTTGTCATCGTAGTAAGACCAGGAAACAGAGGCCGGGATGGGACTTTAAATATAGTAGGAGGCCAGCTCGCGGCCTATCGCTCGCGGCGACAGTTTGATGCATAACTTTCTTAATTTCCATATGTTCAAGTTATTTTTCCACATTGTGTAGATGTTTTACATAACACAGGTAATAAGTAAGAAAAGTCTGATCGGGAGAGAAAATTGACTTGACATATAACATAATTGTCAAACTCTTCACGCGAATGGTTAAATGACAGCATAAAAAAATAACAATTTTTCAATTTTTTAGTTAATTAACTTTTCCCATTAAATAACATGTGACTTGGAAGGCGTGCTTATCAGGTAAAGACTAATCAGTAGAGAGCATTTTATTCGATTACAAATAAACAAAAGCCAGATTATGTAATAGAACCTCATGGTACCGAGACCTATACAAATAATGGTCGGACTGTTGGACAAACCGATAACCCTCCAATAGCAGATATTCTGAAAATGTCAAGGCTACTAAAGCAGAAATTCTGCAAAAACAAATATTTTCGGATACAGAAGATAAATTGCTTTACAATTTTATTTGAATACCTATTGTCTTTTCAATCAGGCTAAACCAATTACATCCAGGACATTAATTTATGCAAACACTTCATCCACTTGATCAGGATATTATTGCTTTTGGATTTCATTAATCTTCTTTAACTTTCACGTTACTTGGAACGCGCGAATCAGAGTTGGACCATTGTTATTAATATAAATTCTGTGATGATTAATATTAAAACTGGTATAAACAAGATTTAAGGGGTATTAAATTAAAATTCCAATGCACACCAAAATATAAAAATATGGTATTCGAATTGAAATATTTAATGCTAAACATAACATGATTAAGAGACTTAGAATTTATAAATATTACATTATTTCTCTTCAAATTTCATCTCACACCACAAGCATCTTTTTTTTTCTAATATGAAAAAAAAATATGGATGCCATGCGATTTTGTATGTTAGATGTGTGTACATGTTAAAAATTCAGCATAACCTAGATATTTTCTTTATTATTAACATCTACTGATTTCAAATGCGATAAATCTACAAAATCTATAAAAGGCAATTTTTAATAATTTATTTGAATATCTAATTTGTGACTTTTAAAGCAACATTAATGAAAGAATGATTGGAATATTTTAAACAGAAAAACATTAAGAAGTAGAGGAATGAAAATTGGTGCGAATACGATGTAGCTGTTATTTAAATATGTATTTGTTCACGAAGTTCTTTTTTATTTTGATTTAAGATTGTTGTTGTTTTTTGTCAATATTCTGAGTATGATAAATAAAGTCAAGAGAAAATCATTATTAGCTTTCACAAAATGATTCCAATAAGCTGTGTAAATTTGCAGGATAATATCAAATGTTGAGCGTGTTCAATTTAAACATTTCTTGCAAATAGGAAGAAAATTTGGAATAGTACCCCCAAAAAACATGATTTTTACATAAAAAAGAAACAGTATGCATCTCCCTCTCAGCGAACCCATTTTAATTAATTTAATATGTCAAAATTCATAATTCTGTGTTAATATAAATTTCTCTACATCCTTTATCATAAGAGTATTTTGAAATATGTTTTATTTAAATCATGTATGCATAAAATTTAATTTTAGGGAGTCTCGTCTTTCTTGATTTATAATAAAGAGGCATTAGCATGGCAATATATCATACTTCAGTAAATCTAATTTAACCTGCTTTGTTAATAACTAATAACAAATATAGCATAACTTAAAAAGAAAATCATCAATTGAGTTTATTTAATCATTATTACATTTAATGCTTCATTCTGCATTTACTTCATATTTTTATACTGCTGCCAAAGAAAAGAATTTTAAAAAGGATACTAATAGTATTTGTACATATCTAGTAAACTTTAATAAATATTCAAAATTTTTACTAGGGCAATATTTTTACTACGTCGTATATTTGCAAAGATGTCTATATGTGGCGACCTTTTTTAATGGATAGCTGACCTAAATATAAATTAATAGATAGAAAAACATTAATTCTCTTTTCCCTTCATAATATGACTCACAATAACGTATTGAATTTGAATCTTTGCCTTGCTATCTTCAAAATTAAAATTAATTCCAATTTCTGATACTACGAAGACACATGTCCTTTAAATATGGAAATAGATATGGTTTTCAAATCTAAAAATAACAACTAGGTAACTGTGCCTTTTTTTAATATTACATTCAATCATTAACCTTTTCTGAACTATTTTTCAACTTTGAAATAACTTTCAAAATGAAAGGACGAACATAGCCTTGCTTTTAAACGGTCTATTTAGTGGGGCATTAATAGGCTTGATGCTATTTAAATCACATTAAGTTCATGTATGCGTCACTGAGTGGTACCGTCATCAGTAAATAATCTATTTTAATTAGCCTTCGAAAAGAATAAAGATTCCAAAGAATGGGAATTAAACACAACATAACATTATCTATACAATTGGTGGTTCTAGTCACAAACTGGAATGAAAAAAAATCAATTCAAGGTCATTTCAAATCAGGATCCCCTTACCAAACAGTAGTTATATTTAAAATTATGTCAATAAGCAGACTTTTCAATTTTTAGGTTTTCTTTTAATCTAATACTCTTCATTTATATTGATATTGTAGAAATATCCTTTCATTTTTTGAACAAGGTTGTCAACTATCTTTTTTAAAGTCATCATTTCGCAGTTAAAAGACCTTGTCAGCGAACACACCATATTGTTAAGTTGTATCTTGACTTTAGTTATTTTAAACAATTTGCGATGCATTTTTTCCCATTTACCCGATAATGTTTGTAACCAATCGAAAGGGGATATTTACTCAATCCCGGCACCTGATCCCACCTCTGATGTTTTCTTGAAGTCCTCTTGATCTGCTTCCGATTTGTATTATTTTTTAAATGAAGTTTTGAGCTTTAATTATTCGTTAAATTAAGCTTAATTACTGTTCGTTGTATTCATATTTTTTTCATTACATCTATTTCAATGTTTTAATGTATATAGTTCCGATATGTGCTAGGTATTTACTTACATTATCAATCTAACAAAGTCAGAAAAGTAAATTAATATAGGAACCACCACGTCTCATATTTTCTACATCCTTAAATTTCTCTCTATTATTTTTTCTCCTTTTTTCATTAATATATAGGGTTTACAGGGAATATTTTTTTTTGGTTAACAGGGAAAACTTAAATCTCCTAAGCACCTTATCCAATATCTGGAATGTTAAGGGGTCCATGTTAATGTCCCGTGTAAAAATTTTTATTCATTTCTGTTATCTTTATTGTGCTTTTTATCTGACTTATGCTTTTTTGGTCTTCCATAATGCTATATTTTTTTTATACACAGATGATTTGTTAGTATACGCAACATCAGTTCATTTGTTGGGTTAGCATGACCAATTATCTTCCAGATCCCCACATGAATCTAAACATGATTAAGAAGGGACAAGCTATTTGTTTTCAAATTTCCCTATGTATGTAAATTGATTTGCATGATTATATTAATTTTTCAAAGAGTTTTAAATGAGATTGTCAGGGATTCCATGATAAAGTTTTACACCAATAGTGCCGTAACCTTACCACTAAATTTCTTCTATTATTCAAAGTATCAAAAAAGTATTGGCACATTTTTTGAGGTTTACTGTGTCTAACTTATTCAAAATAAAAAAAAACATACAGAATTTAAAAAAAAAAATGAGTGGATTAAAATTCGTATTTTAATTCCCAGATTCGGTGTATATAATCGAAGTAACAATATATTAATGTCGCTGGACTAAATATGACATTTACCCGGAGTTGTTTCTATGTCATCTTATCAATTGTTATTGGAGAAGGGACTATCGAACACTATTATTTCGACGTCTATTTTTCCAATTAATTTTTTTTTTGGCTTTACTTTTCCAGAAATACAGGGGTTTCAGATTTCTGAAGTAAATATTGTGAGGGAACACAAAATTACAATAGACTAAATCTGCTCAGTTCAGAAAACAGCTGACCAACTACAAATGCTCGTAGATAAAATATAAAATATATGAAGATATATTGATATAACGATCATATTAAAGCTCAAAAGTCCAATTAACAATACAGCGCAAACACAAACCTCCGAAAATCGGAGGTGGGATCAGGTGCCATGGAGGAGTGAGCATCCCCTGCAGACCGGACACGTCCGCCGTGTGCTCCTTGTTATGATCTGGAAATAACAGAAAAATCCGTCGTCGATTCAGTGTGTAAATAATGGACTAACAATTAGTATGAAAAACGTCAGTCAGCATTTGACTCAATGATAAATTGTATTTGCTGACAAGGTCATTGTATCGACCATAGAATTTACGAAAGGATGACTTTAAATGAGATTGTTAATATGAAACAATTTCGAAGTTACCATAAATTAATGTCGCTGGACGTAATATGACAATTACCCGGAGTGGTTTTTTTTGTCACCTTATCAATTTTTACAGGAGAAGGTTTATCGATCAGTATTATTTCGACGTCTATTTTTCTTTCTCATAATCCAAATTTATGCTTGGCTTCAATTTACCAGATTTACGAATTTACGAAATTTCAATAGATTTAATCTGCTCAGTTCAGAAAACAGCAGACAAGCTACACATGCTCTCAGATTTGAATTTGCTCGCGATAACATTTTACAAAACATATACAATTGTCTTCATAAGTACATTGGCAGCTGGACCCATGTGATGAAATGCAATACCCAACAGATAAAACAAGATGTGTTAAATCAGGCAGTTTTTCGACTTTCCTTCTCCCAGTATCACGATACAAGGGTATATTATTTTAAAT